TCAGGAGCAAGAGGTCCCCAGAAACATACTAAGGCCTGTGTCTGAGACACGGCGCACCTGGCACACTCATGCCTCCCACCACCCAAGAGTGGAAATCCCACCAAACCTCCACTGCAGTGGAGAAGCCAATCAATCAAGGGGCCTAGGAGGGGAAGGGCCGGGCTGGGGCACAGCCAGGGGCCAACCAGAGCTGCTGGGCACTGCCTCCTGCTGCAGTCCCTGCCCAGGGGACCCACATCCCAAACCCAGGAGGGGGCGCCAGGGCCTTGGGGAGCAGCAGAGGCCACCCACCTTCCCAGGCACAGGAAGAGACCAGCACTCCCATGGATGCCATGTGGGCTACGGATATAAATATTTCTAAAAGGTTAGCAAAATGCACCTAAGACCACAGGTCTGCAGTAGGTTTCTAAGGGAAACCGGGCTGCTCTGCGCCCACATCCTACCTGTTGCAGCCCCTGTTCCTGGGGCCCCTGGGCACTCCTTAATCCCTCTGCCAAAGGTCTCCTGCAGGTCCTCTCCCAACGAGGGAAACCCTGCTTCCTGAGCACTTCTCTGTCTGGTCCCCAGAAGTCCACGCCCTCCCGACTTCCTCTTCCCCTGCCCATCATGCCAGGCCTCCGGTGCGGCGTGCAGGAACAGGCTCCCTTCTGTAGGGGAAGCACCGCCTGGGCACCCAGAGGGCCCGCAGCTGCTGGGCCGCGTCAAGTGTGAAACAAATCTCCCTCATCATGGCTGCAGAAGCCAGCCCAGGGACACTGGAGTAAAGGGTATTTATAGCTCTCGTGCACGCATCCCTGAACTTGTGCGTTTGAGTGGACAGAAATAGCAACGGCGTGCCCAAAAGATGCACATGGAACTTCCACACACCGAGGCGGCGGCCCAGTGTGCAGCTCCAGGGATCCCTAACTCAACCCAGCACACGTGCTCCTGGGGGCGGGCACTCTGGGGCTGAAGATAAACTGGGCTTCGGTCCTCCCCTCTCCAGGGCAGCAAGTTCTGCCTTCCTGCCAACGATTAAGAGGTCGGCCTGGAGCCCACAGCTTGCCAGGCAGCTCCCTGCTGGCCTGTCTGGACAGAGAGGGAGAGCTCTTCCCACTTCCCCTCGCTCCCCACAGCACGGAGGCAGGAGGGGAAGCCTCGCCTCCCCAGGCCCTCCCTGAGCAGACACTGGGGCTGCTGCAGAGCCCACGCTGAAAGAAGAAGCAGTGCAGAGGCCCAGGCAGGAAGCCAGCGCTCCCCGCAAGGCCCCCGGCCAGGAGCAAAGTGCCACTCTGAAATGCACGGCAGACCAACTGTCACGTCACCCGCTGACCTTGGACCACCCGGGGGCTAGGCCAAGAGACGGGGAGGGCTTCCCTGGGATCGGCAACACACTGAGCATGCTGGGGATCCTGGAGGATGTCCCCAGCACAGCAAAGCTCAGGGCCTGAGCCCCACACTCTGCACCCTCCCCACACCCCTGCTAACGGCAGCAGAGGTCAAGTGCACCGCAGCCTGCTCTGGAAGGCAAAAGGTCACCGACTGTAATCATCCCTTGGCCGAACACGTAAATTAGGCCTGTGGCTTTGACCTTGACGAGGGTCTACCATGAGGCCAAGAGGCCCCAGCCAGAGGGAGCCGCTGTTGCTGTTGTGGAAACACTGGGAGTCCACTTGAACGTCTTAGAAAGAAAGGAAGCGCTTTCCAGTGCGGCCAGCCTCCCCTAGTCGCTTTCCTCCCAGAAAGTAGAACCACAGGGAAACTTACACATGGACGCATTTCTCACGTTCAACCCGGAACTCTTGGCGATTTTTCTTACTTCATGGGAGGTGTAGGCTAGGAAAGCTGGCCCCACTTGTGCTGGAAAGGCTCTAGGGGCTGGCATTGCAGAATTCCTATTCCTTCCAGGCATAGTGCACTGTCCTCTTCCACCTGTGACCCCGCCCCCACAGTGCACCAGGATAATCTACTGCAATATTTCGTATGCCTGGAGAATGGGGGGGGAGGGGGGCGCAGCTGTTTTCACACATGTGAAAGCATTTAAGCCAGCCTCCAAGCTTGCAGTGGAGACTGGGCTAGCTCCATAGATCTGGGATAGATCACACAGAAAGTAAGGAACAGCTAGAATCCCAGGTCTGGAGCCTGCGACCGGAACCCACACTTGCTTGGTTCTAACCCCACGGCTACCCATCAGGTTTAAAATTTTCCACACATTATGAAGAATGAAGAAAAAAATTATATGTGAATTTCAGAATTATTGTACAAGATAAACATCTCTATTTTATTTGCCTCTTATTATCTTCATTTTATATGAAAGGCAGAGAAGACAGAGAGTGATCTTCCACCTGCTGCTGATTCACTCCCCAAATGCCCACAACAGTCGGAGCTGGGCCAGGCCAAAGTCAAAAGCCTGGAACTCAATCCAGGTCTCCCATGTGAGTGGCAGGGACCCAAGTACTTGAGCCATCACCTGCTGCCTCCCAGGGTGCATGTGAGCAGGAAGTTGGAATCAGAAGTGGAGCTGAGATTCAAACCCAGCTACTCTGAAATCCAACTGTCCCAAGAAGCTTTAACTGCTGTGCCAAATATTTACCCCTAAACTTTTCTTTAAACCTCATTTTCCATGAACTTTTTGAAGTACCTGTGTACACATTTGTATATATATGTGATGTGCATTTATTTAACATTATTGTTACTGATTCATAGCGGCATGCAGTCCTAATGACCAAGTACAACATAGGAATCTCCTACCTGACACACCTAACAGACACTTCTACCTATGCTGCCATTAGGGAGGCAGATCCCTATCTTCAGCTTACTCTTTTGCATTCCCCAGGAGCTCAGCACAGTACTAGGTACTTACATATGGTATTAGGTCGACACTTGCCAGGTGGTCTCATCATTACTAAGTTTGCTCATCATGAACAAACCCTCAACTGCTGAAAGGTGAATTAAATTACTAACTCTGATCAAAAGCAAAAAAAGTGCAAGTGCTGGGAGAAATGCCAAGGGGACCTAACACACACCTTGGCCACAAGAGCAGGTGTCCCACCAGTGGGTAGAAGCAGTCCATTCGAGCCTTACTAAGAGGCTGAGCCTAGCCGGTAGACATCTCACAGTCCTTCCATGATTATGCTCAGGTTTTGAGTGGGCTCAACTTCATGACTCTTGAGATTCGACTTTTCTGCTGTGGAAAGTTGGCATATGACCCTGACTCAAAAGACAGCCGTGATGATGCCAGGTGCCGTGTCCATGGGCACACGAACCATCTGACGAGCCGTGGAGACAGCTGACCATGAACGCCTATAAGCATAACGCATAACCACAGCAAACCGGAGCAGATTTAGACCCGCCCCCACGCTCAGCAGCTGTGTGACAGCAGGCAAGCAGCGTAGCTTCTCTGAGAAAGTTCTGTCATCTACAAAAATGGGATCCCACGTATCTCGCAGAGTGGTTTACAGAGTAACGCAGGTAGCACTTGCACGTGGCTGCCCCATGCCTGATACCCAGAAGGGACTCCAGGAAATACTAGTTGGGTTTGCAGGCAGGATGACCCACATAACACACCCTGTGGAATAGGTCCCACAGGCCAAAGACGACCATGGTGATAAGCACAGGGGCTGCAGCAGAGCAGGTGGTGAGAAGAGTTAAAATTACAGACAAAACTTCCTTCTGGTCAACTTCTAATGTGGACCGCGTGGTTATCAGCTATACCACTTAGAAGCTGGTTTCCTGCCTCTTGGCTTCCACATCTTCTGATGAAGGTAGAAGTAACAACTATTATAAGGCAGGCAACCAAAGCGGGAGGCCCTGGGGGGCGCACAACCTGGGCCCTCTCAGGGAAAGGCGCCAAGAGCTCAGGTCTCCAGCTTGCCAGCTGAGACCCCAGACGGCACCGCAAGGCACCCCTCCGGCCAACAAGCTGTTTCTCAGAACCCAACCCAGACTGTCACTTAGTACCACAGTGCTGAGTGCCACATCCAGGCAAGCTAAGACACTGCACTCCCTTTCCTGGGTGCCTGGTGTGTGCCACGCTACGCCCCCAGCACACTGCACACTGCACAAGGGTTCTGTCTTTCCTTTTCTTCATCAGATAGCAGGACTACAGGATCTGCGTAAGCCCTTCAGCTGCACACATGGCCTCCAGGAAGCCAGTCTGCATGAGCGTGCAAACTTCTGTCTGACTCCTCGGTCTGATCCCAGCGCCGATTCTGCAAAACTTCATCATCAACACCAATACGTGTGTGGCCAGGGAAGAGGGTGGAGCTGGGACTGGACAGGCAGGGACAAGGCTGGCCCCCTCTGCAGAGTCGCCAGAGGCTGAAGGGAGACGCGTACCATTTTCTTCCTCCTCAGTCGTCTCTCCCAGAGAAACCCGGCAAAGTCACCTGGGTGGGCTGAGCGGGGAGGGGGGCTCTTCCTCCAAGATTCACACTGAACGCCTCTCCGCCCACCCCAGGGAGTGGCCAGGCGGCTGCTGTCTCTCTGCTTGTCTCCCTGTGGTCCTCTGCTAACACAAATGACGTGTTCAGCCACTGGAGTCCCAGGGTGCAGTGATGTTGTAATAAACATAACCAGGACCAAATGCCTTCCCATCATCTTCGATGATGCCATTTCTCACCAATCAGGCTCCTCGGGCAGGCCGACCACTCACCAATGAGGGACCAGGCAGAGGCTGCGAGGGGCAGACCTGGTCAGCTGCAACTAAAAATAAGGGCGCTTCGGGATTGGCCGCTGCCACTTTGCAACAGGAGTTGGGACCCAACACCGGGCGCCACACAAGACCCACACGGGCGAAAACTTTCGCAGCCCGGGGGCTCCCACACGGGTGGGCTGGGCTGGGCGCGCTTTTGTGTCCGTTTTCCTAATTTGCTGACTGGACGAAAGAATTGAAGCCCGGTGCCGAGGGAGCCCCTCGCAGACACACCCTCCCGCCCAGAGCTTCAGTCTCCAGGGCCTTTTCGCAGGCGCGCGGGATCGGGGCACGGGAGGGCTGCCGGCCCGAGGCCCAGGCCACTCACCTGTCCGGCCGTGTCATAGAGTCCCAGGAGGTACTGCTTGCCCCCGACGGTGACGCTGACTGCAAGGACAGAGTGGGGGTGGGGAGAGAGGCTCAAAATGACCTGGACTCTGGCGGCTAGTCTGTTCCCCGCCGGGACCCTCCCCTGCCCGCCGGCCAGGGGCACGTGGGCGCTGCCCCGGGAGACGTCACCCCTCTCCCCTTGCACCCGGCTCCCCGTGAAGTGGCCCCCAAGCTGCCCACACCCCTCCTCCAGAGTCCCGTGGCCACGTCTCCCCCAGAGCCCGGGGCCAGAGGGAGGCGGCGGTGGGAAGGTCAAGGAGGTCGGCCCAGGGCGCCGAGCGGGGTGGGGGGCGCGGGCCGAAGGGCGCGGGGCGGCTGGAGGCAGGGCCAAGGGGTGCAGGGCCACCGGGGCCGCGCGCGGCGGGGGAGGGGCGGGAGCGGCTCGGGGGAGCCCAGGGGGGCTCGGCCAAAGTTGCTCCAAAGTTCCGGCGGGAGCGGCCCTTACTCAGCAGTTCCCGGCTCACCTGCGTAGTGGTCGAAGACGGTGGGCACGTACTCCTCCGGGAAGGCGTCGTTGGCATAGCTCATGAGCAGGCACGTCTTGCCCACCGCCCCGTCGCCCACCACCACGCACTTGAGCATCAGCGCGCCGGGCCCGTGAGCCATGCTGCTGCCGGCCGGCCTCCGGGCATGGTCCCCCCGGAGACCCCGCCTCGGCCCCGGGCTCAGCCGCCGCCCGCCGGGGGGGTCCGCCGCCGTCGCCGCCGCTCGGCGCAGCTGGGTCGCCCCCCCGGCCCCATGCAGCGGCTCCCCTCGCGGGAGGGGAGGGGGCGGCGGGCCCGGGGCGCTGCTGCCGCCGCCGCTGCTGCGCTCCCCGCGCGGATCCCCGCCCCGGCCCGGGTCGCCGCGCCCGCCTGCTGCCCCCGCCGCTCGGCGCCCGCGCCCGCGCCCGCTGCCCGGCCCGGCCTCCCCGGGAGGATCCGCTGGATCATAAGACTGTCCGGGCCCGGGGGAGACGGCAACTTTGGGGAGGGCGGCGGAGGGGAGGGGCCAGCGGCTCTCCCCGCCCGGCTCGGCCCGAGGAGGGCGGGCCCAGGCGCCTCCTGCGAGTGCGCCGGCCGGCTCCGCGCCCGCGCCCCGCCGCCGCCGCCGCCGCCGCTGCCGCCGCCGCGCGGCCCTGCCGGCTCCCGGGAGCCTGACTCCGGCGCGGCCGGCGGAGGGCGCGGAGGAGGGGCCGGGGGAGCGCTCGGCAGGGGCCCAGGGCTCCTCGCGCAAGTGCCCGCAGCGCTCAGAAGCGTCCAAAGGCCCCGTTGCTGGGAGAAGACGCGGAGGCCTCTTGGGGAACCACGACGACTTCAACGATGACGCAATTAAGTCATGCAGAATTATCCATCTGTATTTAAACTGCACCCGGAAGGCAGCAGCCATCCTATTGGCTTCTAAATGCGCAACGAAACTAGCAATCAGGAAGACCGAGGGGCTTAGAAAAATTAACGGAGCGCGGGGGTGGGGTCCCTGAACTGGGAAGGAAGGACCCTGACTCTCTCGCTTGCCACCCCCACCGCCACCCCACACCTTGCGCACCGCAAGCGTGAATCCTTTGCTATGGAGCTGGCGGGAAGGGGAATGTAGCAGTCGAACCCCTGACGCGCCCCCAACCAGCCAGGAGAGGGAGGCCCGCTGGCTCTGGCCCCAGTACCTGTGCTCCCCCTGGAGGCGCCATTCTCCGTCCCGAGCGGCCCTTCAAGGAACGGACTGGGTTGTGGTCCCGGAGAAGCGCCCCGCCCTGCGCTCCAGGACCCGGCCTGCCGTCGGGGCGGCGGCTTCTGCCCCTCTGTCTGGCCCACACCGCACTGCGGGTCAGGCCTGCCCTCCACGCGGCCGCCGCGCGCGCACCTCCATCTTGCTGACCTGGGAGAAACGTTGCCTTTCGTCGGTTGTGCGCGGAAAACGCTAGGGTGAGAGGCAGCCTGGAGGTCTGTGGGGCCGGCGAATGAACCGACGCCCGCCCGGAGCGGCCAAGTGGGCATCCGAAGGCTTCCGGCCACTCAGCAGCCCACGTCCTGCGGTGCACGACTTTGGGAAATCCCACTGTTAGGCCCCCAGCCCTTGCTTCCCAGGCCTCAGCGGCTCAGACTGCCTCTCTCCCAGGAAGACTTCCAGGATCTCTGGTAGTTCCCTGTCGATTGACACGGACACGGAGCATCGGACCAGACCTGCCCGTTGCATTTGCGTGTGAGCGTTTGCACTGCGGCTTTAGATGGGACAGTGAGTCTGGAAGGTACTCTGTATGTTCTGAACGACCCATCGAGGGAGGCAGGAGTCGGGTCAGGGTCAAGGCCTTCTCCACTCTTCCTAGAGGGGAAGAGAAGGGGACCTGCCCCTTTATTGGCCTGCGGCGCCGTGTCCTCGAAGCATGGGCCTTGACTCCTGTTCTGAAAGGTGGGGTGGGTCACGAGAGGTTAGGGCCTGGGGCAGGGCGCTCTGTCCCGGAGGGCTGCATTTGGCCGCAGCTCCACCCGGCTTAGCAGCGTTGCCCGGGATGTGGCTCTTCCTTTCTCAGGGCCTCAGACTGCTCAGCTGTAAATGTTTGCTCGTTGGGCAGGGCCTCCCAGTTCTGGAAGTTCCAGGAGCCGCTCTGGGAATATCAGCTCAGGCCGTGTGCGGGATGAATCATGCAGGGTGACTTCACTGGTGACAGCAACCTCGTTCCTCTGGACCACAGAAATGCCACACAGCCAGACTGCCAGCCCCTCCCCCCGGTGTGGGGGTGACAACCCAGTATGACTGTGGGATGGGGAGAGGAGGCGACCTGGGGTGCCCCCACCCGGGCCCATGAACGCTGGAAGCATCCCAACAGCAGCCTCACTTTCCCATGGGCAAAGAAATGAACACCTCAAATGGGAAAAGGCAGTTCTCAGAAGTCGGGAGTGCAAGGGCAGGAAGCAGCTTCCTTTCTAAGTATCTCCGAGGCTTTCTGCTTGCTTTTTTTCCTTTTGTTGTAACCGCAGATGCCGAAGCAGACCCAGGCCTGTGCCAGAACGGGGAACTTGCTACTTAGCCTTCTTCTCTTTTTCCCTCTACCGCCTCCTTCCTCCTCATTGTTCCCTTTCAGTATTTCATTTAACAAGCATCGATTGAAAGCCACTATCTGCCCGGCTTCATTCCTGGGCAGGGGCAAAGAGCTGGCAGGCCAGGGTCCCCGGAGCCAGGGAAGGAGGACAGGAACCGATGTGTGAGCGGCCGATCACCATCCAGGGTGTTCAGCATTGTGCTGGAGAACCCTGCCCAGGCTTCTGGAATGCAGTGGCGCCGTTCCTCCGCAGCTCTGGGCGTGCTGAGGAGGGCGCTGCGGGAGCCGTGGCCTGGGCCTGCACCTTAGGAAGCTACCAGGAGTAAGACAGGAATGCCTGGCAAAGTTAGATCCCTGTAGGGGTTGGGCTGGGGGGGGGGGCGGGGGGAAGAGGGTGGGCAGAGAGCAGGCTGAGTGGTGTGGGGACCTTGCTTGTTTTTAATTGGGAGCCATGTGGTGCAGCCACAGCCCTCCAGCTGAAAGCCATGAGAAGGTAAACTCAGGACCCCACCCAGGCTGGGCGTTCTGTGCACCATAGACTAGGGCCCAGGGTACTATGGGACGAGAAATCTGGCCCATACACTACTTAATTCAGCCCTGAGCCCATCGTGGTGGCCAGCATGATGTCAAGTGGCTGTTACCTTAGGCCTGTCTCTGCTATCTATCCCATCACTGTGACAATGGGTTGGGACCATCCTGATTGGCCCCCCTCCAAACTAGGTTGTATGACTTCTGCACAGAGGGTGGCAGATCTACCCATTATATCCTTGTAATACTCACCAGAGATCCACAGCCTCCCCCACACGACCCTGGAAAGAAAGAACTTTAGGAGAGAGGGAGATGAGAAAGAGGGGTGGCGGGCAGAGGGGGAGGTGAGGAAGATCCAGGAGACATCCAAGGTTCATTACACATCTCTGTCAGTTGGTTTTCAGCCCAGGGGTCCTGCTCACTCTGAACCCTATCTCCTGACCTCTGCTCCCTCCCTGAAGCTCCTTCTAGAAGGCGGCTAAGATGATTGGCATCCTTCTGCTCTGGGCCTGCCTACTCCTCTTTGCTTTTCTCACCCGCATGCCTGGCGTCTTCAGATGCAGGCTCCTTGCTCCCAGAGCCTCTCTGACTGCCCCTTGCCTGCCTTCATAGCACCATGCCTGTGCCTTCCCTTCCTTCCGTCTCTTCCCACTGCGAACACCGCCAGCTGCCTGCTTGCATCGTCCTCTCTCAGGGCTCAGACGTCGTGGACGCTGCACTGTACAAGGGTTTTGGACTAAGGTATTAATGGTGTAAACATCGCAGCCATTTCTTGAAGGTCAGTGGTCCCTGATGATCAGAATGACAGAGCCAGTGAGATTGGCTTCATTGGTTTTCATTTCCAGTTAGAATGTATCTAGATCCGTTTTTCTGGTCATTGCCCACCAGAAACTCCTAAGCATGCCCCAGCTTCTGAGGATTTTGGCTCAAGCACCCTAAACACTATTTTCACATCTTCCTTTCTCACTGTCTTCTGCTGCAGTGGACGTCAGGAGAAGACCAGCCATCGTGACCCCTGGCATTGCCACCCATTGCTCAGCTGTGGAGAGGCCACTTCCTTAGAGGAAGTGCATGGACCGCTTCCTCCCTAAGCTCCAAAGGAGCCGGGACGAGGCTGCCTCTTCCAGAACTGACATTAGTGATGGTACTCAGTGCAGCTGTACTAAGCGTGCCAGAGGACCACCCAACACTCTCTGGGGCAGGTGCTCCTCTGGGGAAGATGGGCTGGCTCCTGTGTGTAAGAGCCATGTTCTGAGGCTGGAGAGCTTTCCTACCCTCTAAGTCTTGGTGAGAAGATAAGAGTATCCTTTATTTATTTATTTATTTATTATTATTTTTTTGACAGGCAGAGTTAGAGAGAGAGAGACAGAGAGAAAGGTTTTCCTTTCTGTTGGTTCACCCCCTAAATGGCCACTACGGCCGGCGTGCTGCACCGATCCAAAGCCAGGAGCCAGGTGCTTCCTCCTGGTCTTCCATGCGGGTGCAGGGCCCAAGCACTTGGGCCATCCTCCACTGCACTCCTGGGCCACAGCAGAGAGCTGGACTGGAAGAGGAGCAACCGGGACAGAATCCAGTGCCCTAATCGGGACTAGAACCTTGGGTGCCGGCGCCACAGGCGGAGGATTAGCCTAGTGAGCCGCAGCGCTGGCCAAGAGTATCCTTTAAAGCAGCTGGAAGTTACGGACTCTGGCCTTCCTTGTCAGACCTGAGAGCTAGTGAAGCTAGACATCAATGCAGGGCAGCCTCCTGCAAGTCACAGCTTCAGTGGTGGGGATACAGTTCAGTTCTTAATGCGAGAAGAGGCACAGCGGGGCAGGTGGCCGTGATGATGGTGGTAAAACGGAGTTCCTAGTTAAAAAGTGACCCCTGTCTCGGCCTTTTGGCTAAGGTCAAGTGTAGAAGTGACCACTGTACACGTGGCTTGACTGCAGTTGGGTGACAGTAATAGTGCCAGAGTGGTTTTCTCATCAGAGTAGCTCCTGAGGCAGATGGGCACTGTTCCTGTCTTGAACAGCTACTCTAGCCGTCCCACAATCCAGTGGGCTACTCGTGATTCCTTTACAATGCCTGTTGAATCAGCCATAGATGGATTCTCTGGCTTGCAGCCCAGCCTCCTGAGAAGGGTTGCAGAAGCAGAGCCCGGTATTGTATGTGCTTCATATAGAGAGTCAAGATTTCCACTTCTACCATGCCAAGTAACGATACTAGATTTACCTTTCTAATGTAGGCAACTCAAACGTTGCATAAAATATGCAAAGCCACTGTTTTCAGATATAGGACAGCACATAGCACAGGAATGAAAGAAGGGGAAAAAGAGCTAATCCCTCCTTCTACTCTTTCTGCTGGTACTAGTTCCTGAGTGCTGGCGCCGTGAGCCCAAGCAGAGAAGGATGGTCTTGTCGAGTACAGGAGCTAGCTGGGGAGAACTTCAAGTCAGAGTGTCGGGGGTGGGGGGCATATAGCAGCAAAAATGGCCCCTGGGATTCCTCTGAGTCCGTTGCACAGTTCTAAGTTGCATATG